CATTGCCCGCTTTCACGGAGAAAGCCGGCTTTGGCAATTTCCTCTGGCACTTGCCACTGCGCTGGAAGGCTCCCCAGCAGCGAGACGCGAACCCGACGGCAATGCAATCTGCGCATATAACTTTAAGGTTATTCGTGAAGTGCCTGCTCTCCTGTTCTGCGCTTATGTGCTCCTGCCGAGCGAGCCCTTTCTTGCACGCCGCGCACGTGGGTTCTCTCTTCAACCGTTTCGCCGCATCCGATACCTCCTTCGCCGTCCTGCCGCGTTTGCTACAATCGCCGCAAAACGCTCGTTGTCCCGTCCTCCTATGATCCTCCACCTGGCTGCTATTCAAATGGCCTGCCTCCGAAAAACTCACCCCACATCCTGGCGCGCAGCGCGTCAGCGGCTTCGCGTCCGCCTCGGCTTTCCGTTTGCGATTCGCTGCCTCCGCGTTCTCCCGCCGCACCTCGTTATCTCGCCCCTCCGCGCATTTCCGACAGAGCCTCTCCCCCGCTGAATTTTTTTTTCTGTGCAGCCGACATTTCCGCCTGCTCGTCAAAAAGCGACAGACACGTCTGGTTTGAACATCGCACAGTTCCAACGCTCTCATTCCAGTTCGCGATGCCGCTCCGCGACTTCTGCTTGGCTTTTCACGTGGCTGCACTTCGCGCAGTACATTGTCCGAATCCTTTTTGTCTCCCCGCCGTCCGGCGCTGCGTCCGTGCGCCGACCGATGCCACGTCGACTCGCATCGTGACTCTCGGCTCTCGTTGCCCACCCCCTGCACGTCGTGCGCCATTTCTCGTCCGCGATCTTCGTCGCTTGCGTGCACTCTTTGCAGAATGCGGGCCCTTCCTTCCTCTGGAACTCGTATTTTGTGAACGCCTCTACCAGCAATCTCCGACGGCAGCGCTCGCATTGGTCTCGTGGCATTAGTTCCGCCCCCCACTCATCCCAATTCACGCTCTCCCGTCGCAGCACCCGCAATAGTTGTTTCGTGCCCTCCATCTCACCTGCTTTGTACGGTCTCCTATCAAACGGCCGGAATATCAGCAGGTTCTCCCGCCTGCGCACGCGCGTGATGGCAACGTAACTGGACATCCCACTCACGCCGCGCCTGTTCCAACTCCTCCTCCTCCTCCTCCTCGTCCTTCTCCTCCTCATCCTCCTCCTCCTCCTCCCTCCTGCTCCCTCCTCAATCGTCCCCCTCCCCATCCTCAACCCTCCTCTTCCTCCTCCTCCTCCTCCGATCCCTCCTCCATCCCGGCCCCGCGTTGTTTTCGGCTTCCAGGGGCCGCTCTCGGGCCCCCACCGCTCAGGAACGAATCCGGGGTTCAGCCTCCATAAGTCACCTCTGGAGCCCAAGACTGTCAACCTGGTGGGCCCACGAAACATGGTGATGTCTGAAGGCGCGTGAATTCGAGTAGCGGGAAATGGCGACGCTGAACACATCGAAGGTGACAGCGCCGCGCCACAGATGCGCGCTGTCCTGCTCCGCTTTGTGCCGCTCTACCAAGCTGAGAGTCCGACATCAAACCGAGACGACAGACACCGAGCACGGACTGACCCAAATCCGGCACACCGAGAAGCGACAAACAAAGACAAAAGGAGACGAAGCAGTAGAAACCCACAAGGACCGCAAAAAACCCTAGAACGGACTGGGGACCGATTTTTAGCAGATTTTGCTCGGGAGGTGATCACGAGCAGCGGGCGTACGCATACCCACGCCTCCGACGTCCAATTCTAAGACCTACGACGTCTTGAAAACATCCGCGAACATCCAGTGTCATCGGCGCGTCAGATGCCCCCCCTCCGCAAATCCCTCCCCTTCAAGCCCCGTCCGTTTGATGTGGAGAGGAAAGGCGGGACGCAAAAAGGCTCTTTCGCCTCATCCCCGCCTCTCCTCTCCTCCGCGAACTACACGTAAAAGAACCCCCTTGCGGGTTTCCAGGCGTGTGAGATTCTTCCCCATCCATAATCCCACCCCCCCGGGACCCCGAACCGGATGTTTAACCCCCCCCGCCCCAGACGACCCCGCGCGAACGCGCCATGAGGGGCCAGAGAGCGCCACAGCGAACCAGGACGGCCCAACGGAGCTCCCCAAACAGTCCATGAAGGCCACGAGTCACCGAAAGGGAGCCGCCACGCGAGGTCATAGAAAGCCCCAAGATGGCCCTAGAGTCCACGAAGCAGCATACCCCCAGACAACCCCAGGCTGCCCCAAGAAGCCTCCAAGGCTGCGAGTGAATCAAGGGGTCGGCGGATGTGGCATAAGCCTGAAGAATCCACGTCCGGAGGTGACGTGCTGAGCGGCAGCGTTTTCTGCGGAGGCGATAATGCAACGTATCCAATGTGTCCAATGATTGCATAATTGCAACGTGTTGTATTGTGTTACATTATTATGTCTCCCCCCCTAACCCCCCCCCAGGGGCCACGCCACTTCCGTCGACCCAAAGGTGGCGAACCCCTTCTGGGCTTCAAAAACATCAGAAACCTATGAGAAATCAACAAATTCGGCCTCTTGGGCCTCTTGGGGCCCCAAGAAAGTTTCAAGACGGCCCAAGATGGCCCCAAGACAGCCCAAGACGGCCTCAAGACGGCCCAAGATGGCCCCAAGAGGGCCCATGAGGCCCCCAAGGAAGTCCAAGAGGCCACCAAAAAGACTCCCGAGAGCGCCTCCGGAAGCCAAAATCTTTGATTCTCCTATAGTTTTGGGACAATTTCAACGTTTTCGCTTTTTTCGGCTCTCAGAAGGCCATGACGGCCCAAGCAGCCTCCAAAAAGGCCCCCAAACGGCCCAAGAGGCCTCCAAGGGGGCCCCAACACGGCCCAAGAGGGCCCCGAGACGGCCAAAAAACCCTCAAGACGGCCCCAAAAAACCCAATACGGCCCCAGAGGACCCCAAGAGAGCCCCAAGGCGACCGCGAGAGGCTTCGAAAGTGGCCTCCGAAGTGGCCAGACGGCGTAAGAGCGCCCAAAGACGACCCAAGACGTCCCCAAGAAGCCCCAGGAGGCTCCAAAGAGGCCCCCCAGAGGCTCAAAAAAAACCCTAAGAAGCTTCCAAGAAGCTCCCAAGAGACTCCCAGGAGGCCCCACAACGACTGGACTGAAAGTGCTCTGAAACACCCTGCAGAGTTTTCTGCGGAGGCGATAATGCAACGTACCCAGTGTATCCAATGATTGCATAATTGCCACATATTGCATTGTGTTACATTATTAATTATGTCTCCCCCCCTAACCCCCCCTCTGGGAGCTGCGCCACAGGAGCGGACCAAAGTGCCCCCCCCCTCCCGGGGCTCAAAAACTTATCAAAACCTATAGACAATCTATGATTTCGACTTCTTGGGCTTCTTGAAGGGCCAAGAGGGTGCCAAGACGGCTCCAGATGGGCTCTGCGCGGACCAAGACAGCCCCGAGACGGTCCAAGACGGCTCCAAGAGGGCCCAAAAAGCCCCACTGACGGCCCAAGAGGGCCCCAAGAGCGCCCACAACTGCACCTCCAGAAGCCAAAATCATTGATTTCCTTTGGGTTTGTTAAGATTTTAGCGTTCTCGCCTTTGCGGCCCAGGCAGCTTCCCAACTCGCTCCTGAACAACCCAAGAAGCCCCCAAGAGGGCCCCAGTACTGCCCAACAGAACCCCAAAACGGCCCAAAGAGGCCCCCAAGACGGTCCAAGAGGCCCCTATGACGGCCCAAGAAGACTCCAAGACGGCCCCAAGGCGGCCGCGAGACGCCCCCAAGACGGCCTCCGAAGGGGCGAAACGGCGCAAAAGCGCCCCAACACGGCCAAAGGCGCCCCCAAGAGGCCCCAAGAGGCACCCAAGAGGCCCCCAAGGGGCCCCCAAAAAACCCGAAGAGGCCTCCAAGATGTCCTCAAGAAGCCTCCCAAAGGCTCCAAAGAAGCCCCCCAAAGGCCACACAGCGACTGGAGTGTAATGTCATTTTTCCACCCAGGGCGAACTGCGGCGCAGCGCCAGCCAGGTGGAAGTTGGTCACAGCGGCGCCCATGATTAGAGCCGGCGCTGGAAAGAAATATGGGGAGGGAGTATGAAAAGGAGTGAGGGGGGAGAGGCCCCCAAAAAGTCCCCAAGAGGCCCAAGGAAGCTCCCAGGAGGCCTCCAGGAGGCCCCCAAGAGGCTCCCAAGAGGCTCCGCGACGACGTGACTGTACGTGCTCCGGACGTGCACCCCGCGAAGCGAGAGGAATCTGAATCCGCGCCTGGTTCCCAACATAAGCCCCCCCAGAAGCCCTCGAAAGTGGCGGCAGTTTCGAAGTTCGCAGCTACCCAGGGATGGCGAGGTCTATTCTGAATCCCCGCCTGGTACCCACTATGTTGCCCCCCCAACAGCACTCGAAAGTTACAACAGCTTAGCAGTTCGCAGCCCTCCAGGGACGGCGAGGTCTAATCTGGATCCCCGCCTGGTACGTACCCACTATGCTGGTCTCCCCAACTGCCCTCGAATGTGGCTACTGTTTCGTCGATCGCAGTCCCCAGCGAGCCCCTGAGCAGGAAGGCGAGGCAGGAGGAAGCATGCAGGCAGGAGGCAGGAGGAGAGAGGGGAACGGAGGAGGCAGGAGGGAGTGGGAGGAGTTGCGACTTCACTGCTCTATTCAAAACGCAAACCCGAAGCAGGAGGGTTGGGGGGTCCGGGAAACACAGCATTGGCATAAGGATAACGGGCATTCTGATCAGGGAAGAGACGGACGGAAGCGGATGCGGACATGGAGGCAAAACATATGCAGGAGTTCGTTCTTCTCTTCCTTTCTGCCTCCCTCGTCATTAATTCCTGTTGGATCTCCTCCCCTTCTCCTCGCCCTTCTCGTCGTCGGCCTTCTCCTCCTTCACCTGGTGAATCTCCTCCTCGTCGTCGTCGTCCTCCTCCTCCACCTTCTCCTTATCATTAACCTCCTCGTCCTCTCTCTCTCCCGGATCCTTGGGTTGGCTGGACCTCCACATCATCCTCTTCCTATTCCTCCTCCTCCTCCTCCTTCTCCTCCTTGGAGCGTTGGCTGGCGTCCTTGGGCTCCCCATCGTCCGACGCGCCAGCGCTGCCGTCTGGCCGCGAGGGTACAGGGGGGGACGGCCAGGAGCAGGAGGTGGGAGTGGGGGGGGGGAGGGCGGATGCGGCAGAGGCAGGGCGGATGGGGCGGGGGGGTGAGGGAAGATGCGGGGGAGGAGGATGAGGAGGACACAGAAAAAAACAGGGCGGGAGGAGGAGGAGGAGACGGTGGAGGAGGAAGAGGAGGAGAAGGAGGAGGAGGAGGCGGAGGAGGGCGAGGATGACAATGTAGACGATCATGACCAGGAGGCATGGGGTAGGGCAAAGGGAGGGAGGAAAGAGAAGGCGGAGGCAAATGATGAACACGCGAAGGAGGAGGAGGCGGGATGGAGGAGCTGGAGGAAGGAGGAGGCAGAGAAAAAGAGGGAGGATGCAAAGTGAGGATACTCAGAGAAAGAGGAGGATAATGATGATGATGATGATGGTGATGATGAGGACAAGAGGGGAATTGTGATGCTGCTGCTGATGATCATGATGATGACGATGATGGTGATGATGAGGATGCTGATCATGCTGATGATGATGAGGCTGATTATGATGATGATGCTGATCATGATGTTGATGCTGATGCTGATGTTGATGATGATGCAGCTGATGATGCTGATGCTGATGCTGCTGCTGATGATTATGTTGATGCTGGTGATGATGCTGACGATGATGCTGATTCTGATGGTAAAAATGAGGATGAGGATGAGGGCGAGGATGAGGATGACTATGAGGATGATGCTGATGATGCTGATCATGTTGATGATGATGATGATGATAATGCTGATGATGATGTTGATGATGACGATGATGATAATGATGATGATGATGCTGATGATGATGCTGATGATGATGATGATTATTATTATTATGAGGCACGAGGATGGCTGGCGGAACTGTTTCGCCGAGACCCGTTTCGCTCGCGGACCGCTTCGCCTGGACCTCTTCGCCGACGCCAGAAAAGTTTCACCGGGACCGTTTCCCCTGGACCGCCGCCAAGAACGTTCCGTCGATAGACCGTTTCGCTGAGGGTCCGTTTCGCTGGCGTACCGCTTCGCCAGCTTACACGATCCTTCGAACTTTTTCGTTCTTCATCTTCGCTATCGTCGTCGTCGTCGCCGCCGTCGCCGCCGCCGCCGTCGTCGCCGTCGCAGCCGCCGCCGCCGCCGCAGCCGCCGTCGTCGTCGTCGTCGTCGTCGTCGTCGTCGTCGTCGTCGTCGTCGTCGTCGTCGTCGTCGTCGTCGTCGTCGTCGTTCGGTGCCGTCGTCGATCTTCTGCATCACCGACGTCTGCGCCGTCCTCTCCGTTAGGGTCCTTCCACTCGTTTGTGTGCAAACCGACCAGCCCGCCCGCCCGTGAAGGCCCGCCCGCCCGGCCGACCGCTCGCTTGCGTGGCAGCCCGTCCGCTTCAAAGTTCCTCCCATACGTTGGGTACGCCCGCTCGATTTCGTCACAGCCCGCCCGCTTTAATGTCACGCCCGCCAGTAAGTGCGCGCCCGCCCGCCAGCGCGCGCACGTCAGGGCCCGCCCGCTCGCTTGTGTGAGAATGCCCATCCTTCAAGAGCATGAGGCCCTCCGCGGCCAAACTGAAGAACATTCGAGGGTACCCGACCGTACGGCAAGACGCGACGGACGACGAACGGGACGACGACGAGCAAGCGGACGCCAATGACGGCGAAACGGCCCGCCGTCGAAACAGCCCGCTGGCGAAACGGTCCGCCGACGAGCTGCTGACCAAAGGGTCTTCAGCGGACATGCCCTCGGCGAACCAATCCGCTGGCGAATCGGTTCAGGCGAGCCAGTCCGCCAGCGAATCGGTCCCGTGCCAAGGTGTGGCAGCAGCAGGATGAGCAGATGCATCTTGGCCTTGAGCCAGAATGTGACAACGACAGTACGTCCTTCCCTGAAACACGTACGAACAATCCTGGCCTCCCGTGAGCTGGAATGTTGGGCTTCACGGGAAAGAACATTATGCTAAACCTATATCGATAAAACAGGAGCGTCTCCACATGGATGAGACTTTCTCCTAGGTTTAGCACCCCAAAACAGGATACAGCAACTGTACATGCAAGTCAGTGATCAGGGAGAGAGCAGTGAGGGAGGAGAGAAGAGAGAGAGCCCGGGTCTCTTGACTCCGACACCGCTGGGCTGGACTGGAAATCGGCCCACGATATGAGCCTGGAGTCTTGATCCAACATCCTCCGAGATGCTGCCTGAGATCGGTCCTTACTCCCTGGTTGGTTCCTCCTGCGGGATATCTCCCCAGCCTCGTCTATCAAAACTAGCTTGCCTGTCGCAAGTAAGTTGGACAATGCCGCATTGCCCTTGCTGATGTCGTCCTTCGTGAGACAGTCCACGGGCATGCGGCCGTGCGGGATCCACCGAATAAAACCTCGAGCCCCCTCCAGGGCCTGGCACACGGCGGCTAAGTCGAGCGCCGTGCGACGGTCGCGGGCACTAGCATTCCCTTCCTTCAGCATCGTATCGTAGATACTCTTCGCATCCACCACGTGAACCTGATCTTCCCGCCCGCCTAGTCGGCAGCCCCTACGGAGTACCGTCGTAAACGGACCTGAACACCGGGACATGTCTGACACATCCACATCTCCGAAAACCACGTCTCTATACAAGACCTGGAGAAACTCTACTTCCGCCACTGCCGCCGAGAGAGCCTGAGTCTCGCCGGCCAGAGTAGACGTGACTTTTCTTCTGAGCTTGGAACTTCGCCATCCCAGGGTGGACGCACGAACAGCACAGTTATCTATCACGCTCTTATCGGTCGCTAAGACCATCCAAGCCCCCTGCGTTGGGTCGGCGGGGAGCCCCCGGTGGTCCAGAAGTCCTTCGTTGGCTCCTACACCCCCCGCATCAGAGAAAGAAACGAACGCCATCCGTTCCGGGTCCAAACGCCAAATGATGAGGCCTCTCGAGGCCGTAGCACGGAGATGCCTCACCATCTTGTTTGCAATGGCAACGTCCCCCGTGGTGGCGTCCTTCAGTCTACTAGCAAGGATGCTCGCGGTGCCGGCAGCCTCGGGACGAGATTCACGACCGACCCAGTTCAACTTATAAATCAAGGACCGGAGGGCTTTGAACTCGGGTTGGGTAAGAGGAGAGAACTTTTGACCCAGTCGACCCCGTTCGAGGCTAATCGTCCTCACCTCCTCCAGTACATACTTTTCCTGGTCGATCGTCGTCTTCTGGGGCCCGAAACTCACGCTGCGGCCAGCGTACTCGACAGGACCGCGGTGACAGTCCCTGTACTTCCCAAACTTGAACCTAGAGACCAAGGTCTCCCGGATCCAGGCTCGGGACGCCTCTGACTTGCTGGCGATAAAGAAGTCGTCGACTTCAAGTAGGATCATGTTGAGAATGGTCCCGTCTCAGGCGTACCTGATCCACCAGCAGGGCTCTAGGAGACTGCGCGTGAATCCCTTTGTCCTAAGATATCCTACTATCGTTTTGCGCCAGGCCAGAGGGGCATCGTCCAACCCGTAGACGTTCACCAGCAATCTGATGAGAGACCCCTTTTCAACCTTGATGCCCTCGCATGGTTCCACGTAGATCTCTCCCTGAGCACGGCTCATAGGATCCGATTGGCAGAAGGCATTCTTCACGTCCGCAATATCCCCTTGGTGGCCTAGATTCATCATCACCTGGATGAACATAAGTATGGAAGAGGTCTGGGGGGTGGGAGAATAGACGAATAGCGTCCCGGTATCCGGATCCTTGTGTCCGTGGACGCACCACCGAGACTTGGCGGTTGGTTCAGAAAACGTGCCCTCCACAGGTTTCCACCGTCGAACCATCCGACTCGTGATGATGCGGTCCGGTCGCTCTCGCCTAATCACCCCCGCCTCCCTAGGCGCTATGATCTCCACAGCACCCGAGTTGGCCATATTTTGCCACTCGGTGTCGTCTGACACTTCAAACTTGCTGCGCTCGGCAGGCGTCAGTCGGTTGAGGCTAACCTCTCCTCCGCGGCTGGCCGCCAGGACCTCAAGATCGGCTCCGCGCTTCTCCTCAACCAAGAGTACGCCCGCCTCCATGGTTTCGACCGCGAATGACACCCAGCCTTCCGGTCGGACCCTCGACTCGATTTCCTGAACTCTACGCCCCACAAAGCCTGGCCCCCCGTCCTCGCCTCTTTCCTCGGCGTCGGCAGCGGCAGCACTGGCACTCGGCCCTTCGCTCACTTGGGGAGAGCTGCTGGAAAGACCCAGTCCTGGAGGTGGCTCTATCCTGGCACGCTTGACTTCGACGACCTCGGGATGACAGCTTGCCGCTCGAGTCTCAGGCTGACGCTGGCGAATACAAGCTGGCACGTCGCTGGGCTGAGGCAGTCTAGATCTCCCTGGCCTGCTGGCTCCACCAGAGGCATCCTCGTTGACGGTGGGAGCGGGCACAGGGTTAGAAGGAAGGAGAGGAGGAGGAGGAGGAGGAGAGGAAGAGATAGGGGGAGCCGGGTCGAGGGTGTCCTCGTCCTCTGGAGTGTCCTGCCTCGTGGGTGGCCCGCTCTCTCCCTGGCCGTCTCCCTCGGAGATGGACGGGAGTCGAGTTCGCTCGGATCCGGCCCGGGCGACCGCAGAACCCCCGGCCGATGGCGGCCGGGATCCGACCCCCCTTGGAGGCCTGGGCCCGATCGGATCGAACCCACGGTGAACCAGAGCAGGCCCTGGAGGTCTCGCACTCGGAACTTCTCGAAGCGCATCCGGCCGTGGTTCTGGCTCGGGTCCCGGGGGCACCTGAGGCGCCGAGTCCACCTCTGGAGACAGCGGCTGGTCCCACGCTTCGTCGGGGGGGGGACCTTCTCGCTGGACGTCCACCGCCGTCGCTCTCCTGGCCTGGGCCTGGGAGAGAAGCTCGGACCACCGGGGATCCTGGGCAACCTGGATGCCGCATTCCTCCTCGGCACTGGCCAGACGAACCTGCTCTGGAGAGCATTTCCAGAGACGCGCCCGCACCGCGACCCAGACGGTGCCACGCTCGCACAGGACCACGACCCCAGGGC